CACTAGAAGCGGAAGAAGCATTTGTGCCATGCTCGCATAAAGCTTGCGCGGCTTGCTTGTGAAGGCCAGCGCGTGCCTTCTGAACCTGTGCTGGCGTGCGCCAGCGTCCAGCCCGGTGACCATAGGCCTTGCGAGACACGCGTGCAGCCCATGCTATGCCGGCAGCGTGTTGGCGTGTTGCCACGCTTGTCGAGGCCACGGGGCCGGTAAAATCTTGCCCGGTGGCAAGTGTGTTGCTGCGTTGGCGTGAGGCCAGCGTCCAGCCGGCTAAACTAGCGTGATGCTGGTTGTTCGGCGCGGTTGTCCTTATTGATTTCGGGGATCCCCTTGTTGCGTGTTTGGATGTTCCTCTTAGGGAGCCTTGTTTTATCAATTCTATGTTTGGTTTAGGGAGGGGGGCTGCGTTGGCATGTTGCCACCATGCAGCCGGGTTCCTCGCTGAGGTTGCAGGGTAGTGCCTTGAGGCCTGTTGTACTCGCGCCGCGTGGCACCATTGTTTGGTTTGAGACAGTCTGCGTGGCGCACAAGTACCTTCGACTTGCCTGTGTGGCTTGTGCGTGTTTTCTCCTGTGTTTCTGCTTGCCAGAAAATGGCATCCTGGACAGATTCACTGAAAGCTGCCGGCCTGGCCGAAGACATTGCAGGGCAAGTCGTTGCTTTGGGCTACGACTCTGGATCCCGGGGCCGGGGACTTGGAAGGCTTCTTGCATTTCCTGTTGGTGAGCAAGCTGCGGCTGGCCGAAGAAGCAGAGTGGAAGTTTTTGCCCATCACAGCCAAATTCCTCAAACTCTGGAAGGAGTGCCAAGCTTTGCAAGCTGTAGGAAGTCCTGCAGCGCCCAGCCAACCAGCTGTAGTGAGTCCAGCAGCGCCGACCCAGCAAGCCCTGGCCCTGCCCGAGGAAAACGGAGAGGCCCAACCTAGCCTTGCCAACGACCCGGCCACGCAAGATCCGTCGGCGGTGAGCATTCCTGGCGTCCAGCCGGCAAACAAGCTGTCTGTGCTGGACCGTGACCGCATGCGAAAAGAGCTCGAGAAGCGGATGCCATCGGTCGTGATCACTCCTGCAAATCTGCCAAGCCTAGCTTACTTGCAAATTGTGTGGTCGCAGAGCAGGGAAGGCCATTGGGAAGTAACTCCTTGGAAGCAGATTCTGAGTGAGGAGGCGTCGGTGCAGCTTCGCGGGCGCAAGGCTTTGCAGCCCCGCGGCGACCTGCTGGACATCGTAGCCGCTGCAGCCGGCGTGCAGCAAGAAGTGTGGGACCAAGAAATTTCCGGCGCTGCATTTCGCATCCAAAGCATCCTGCGGGTCCGCGCCCACGCGTTTTGCATGGTCAAAAAATCACACATGGCGTCGTGGTGGGCCTACATCGAAAAGTTCATGGCGTTCTACGCCAGGGCAGCCCCAGAAGGCCTGCGCGCGCCAACGGCTATGGAAGCCGAGAGTGCCGATCGTGCAGCCATGGCCGAAGTGTTTCAGCTTTGCTTCGGGGGACCCACACTGGACGAAGCCCTGCTAACTGTGAGCGTTGAGCGCGACTTGTTTCGCATCCTGTTGGCGCCCCAACTCAGGCCGCGTGTTGAAAAAGCGCCTCCAGCCTCCAAGCGCTGGTTGGCTCCGGACAGCAGCGTGAGTGACCAAAAAGATCAAGAACGGCGAGTGCTGGAAGTGGAAAGATGGCAAAAAGTGCCGAAATAAAAACTGCCCGTTCCGGCACGGCTGCGCGCCGTGCGGGGACCCCTCGCATCACGCTGCAATTTGCCCAAAGGCCGGGGAGCATTGAAGCTTGGCCGACTGTGCTGAGAGTCGGGTTTATGATCGGGTTGAGCCGCCTGGACCGTTGACAGTGCCCGCATTGCCACTTGAATCTTCAGGCGTGTCAGCCACTTTAGGAAACCAAAAATTCATGCCGCCCCCGGCGTATGCCATCAGAGATGGTGGCGGGATCCAGAGCTCCGCAAACTGGCTGCTGCCGCCAGAGTCAGCTGACGCTTTCAAGTCTTTGCGGGACCGTTTTGGTGCTTTGGCCAAGCAGTGGGGGCTGGTCGGGCGCCTGCGTGCGCATACTGCGTCTGCTAGCAGGGAAGACCTGTTTTCTCAGGGTGGGATCGCTGTCCTGCGGAGTGAGCTGGTTTCCTTTTTGCACGATCAGAACCTCCCTTGTTGTGACACAGTGGTGCCAGGGCAGCCCTTTCTTTTGAACTGCTGGGCCGCGTTGGGGGCTTTGACGCGGGACCCTGATTGCTCGCTGCCACGCCTCCTTCAAGAGGGCGTTGCCACTGGCATTGAGGGGCCTATTCCTCCCAGCGGCGTGTGGGAGCAAGCAGAAACTTGTGACAGCTTGAGCCCGGAACTTGAGGTCCATCGGGAGCCGTGGAAAAGCGCCCAGCTGGACCCAGCGCTGACGCTTGAGTTGCTTAATAAGGACATCCAAGCCGGCTTTGCTGCAGAGTTACACGGCGGCCTTGCCGAAGCGCAGACCCGCTGGAATGACCGTTTGGCAGCTGGCAAATTAGGTGTTGTTCGAGCGCCAGGCAGAAAGGCGCATTTAATTGGGGATGGCACAGTGTCCGGCGCCAATAGCGCGTCGAGCATCCCCGAAAAAATTCGGCACCCATCCCTTCACAGCGTGCAGTCCTTTTTCTCCTTGCCAGACGCCGGCGTTGCTTGGTCGGCTTTCAGCTTTGATGTAAGAGGAGCGCATAAGCTCATCAGGGTTCGGGAGGAAGAGCCTCTTCTCTGCCAGCGGCAGGTGGTTTTATTATAAGACTTGCTATTTTGGGTGTCGTTGGGCCGCTTATTATTTTAGCCGAGTGGGTGCTTTCCTAGTTCGTCTGCTTCACCGCTTTGTGTGGGTGACACACCGGGGACTGTGCCCCCTACTTGGCAGCCTTGGCGACCATGTTCTTGGTCGCACTTGGCGTCCCGCTGAGCTATGAGAAGCTCAGCCTGGGCCAAAACTTGACTTGGATCGGCTGGCGTCTGCAGGTGGGTGGCCTCACAGCTGTTTTGCCAGAAGAAAAGAAGGCCCATTTGCTGAGCTTGCTGAAGCCACTTCTTGGCCGCGCCGAGAAAACGGAGCGGGCGGCGCTCAGCCGTGTGATAGGCCTGTTGGTGTGGTACACCTCCGGCGCCAAATGGCTGCGACCGTGGCTGCAGCCACTGTACTCCTCCCTTTACAAGCCTATGGCTGTGACGCGCCTTCTCCCAGTGGCCCAAGTCGGCGAGGTAATTCAAAGTCTTCTGCCTGACTTGACCGTTCCAAAATCCTTTGACAGTATTGGCCTGCTCTCAGGCTGGAAGCTCCATAGTGTGGCAAACTGCGTAGTTCGAGAGAAAACTGCGCTGGCCCTTGTGCACCCGCGGCTGAAAAGTGACCGGGTCAGCGTAGTGTTCTTCGACTTTGAGTCACGGTGGACACGGTTGAGTCAAGACTGCAATTTTGCCGCCCGCTTGTTCCACAACGCAGTGTCTAGCCAGGCCCCGATCCCTCTGCGTAGTATTGACTCACCAATCAAGCACGCAGCTGCTGACGCCTTCGCTGACCAAGGTGTGGCGGGAATCGGCGGCTGGTGGCTGCCTCAGGATAAAAATCTTGCTCCTCAACACATTTTATGGTTCCGCATGACCTTGGACGCAAGCACGTTGCCGACTTGGTTTCGCCACCCCAACTCCAGCGACCTGCAGAGCTGCATTGCCTCGCTTCTGCTATTCCTGCAGCACCACGAATCTCCCGGCGCCGGAAGCTGCGCGCATGTGCGCGTCAGCCAATTGTGCGACAACCAAGGCGTTATGGCTGCGTCAGCCAAAATGCTATGGGGTTTTGGTGTTGCGAACTGGGGCTATTTCTCACATTGCGGGGGAAAGAAATGTCTGGGCGGACGCCCTAAGCCGCAGTGAGGCCCTGCCCGTGCAGCCCGCGAACCAGCGGCATTGCGACCTTGGCTGCCTCTTGTCTGCCCCATGGTTGTGAGGAGCGCCTGTGTTGGGGCTTTGTTGGCTGGCCTGTGTGCTCCCTTTTCTGCACGCGCACCTTGCATTGGGGCTTTGCTTGGGGGGCTGATCTGCTGCTTTGCAGGTCACCCCCCACTTGTGCGCTTGTCCATTGGAAAAGGGAGCACACGCTGCGCAGCTATGCAATGTTTGCTTTGCTTGCTTTGCTTGCTTTGCTTGCCTGGCTTGCTTGGCTTGCTTTGCTTGCTTTGCTTGCTGTGCTTGCTCTGTTGCTTGCCTGCTTGCTTGCTTGCTTGCTTGCTTGCTTGCCTGGCTTGCTTGGCTTGCTTTGCTTGCTTGCTTGGCTTGCTTGGCTTGCTTTGCTTGTTTTGCTTGCTCTGTTGTTGCTTGCTTTGCTTGCTTTGCTTGCTTTGCTTGCTTTGCTTGCTGGCTTGCTTGGCTTGCTTGGCTTGCTTTGCTTGCTTGGCTTGCTTTGCTTGCTTGGCTTGGCTTTCTTGGCTTGCTTGGCTTGCTTTGCTTGCTTGGCTTGGCTTGCTTGGCTTGCTTGGCTTGCTTGGCTTGCTTGGCTTGCTTGGCTTGCTTGGCTTGCTTGGCTTGCTTGGCTTGCTTTGCTTGCTTTGCTTGCTTTGCTTGCTGTGCTTGCTTGGCTTGCTTGGCTTGCTTTGCTTGCTTTGCTTGCTTGGCTTGCTTTGCTTGCTCTGTTGCTTGCTTGCTTGGCTTGCTTTGCTTTCTTGGCTTGCTTTGCTTGGCTTGCTTTGCTTGCTCTGTTGCTTGCCTGCTTGCTTGCCTGCTTGCTTGCTACTTTTGACAGTCAAAGACGGCGGCTCGAACCAGTTTATTTGTCTGCCTTTGCTGGCATGCCAAGCTACTGGCCCTGTCAACGCACGGCATAACCCCATTATTGGCCCTGCAAACACAAGTACGACGTTCTGGCCTGCATAGTGCATTTTGACGTGCACGAAGCAGCGCAAAACCCCGTTGCGCAATAGGTTTCTGCAGTTCACTCTGATCTTGGTTGGTCTTGTGTTGGAACATGGCGCTGCTCAGGGCTACCTTTGCCTTGCGCATGGGCACATAAGTCCCGCTCCATTCCGGATCAACGCTCCGCTGGCCATGGACAAGTGGCGAGACGAGGCTGTGGTAGATGCGCGCGAAGGCCTGAGAGTCGAGCACGTCAGAGCACGAGAGCATGCGCGAACTTTGCAACTTCAATGCCCAGGACAATGGGCTGAAAGTTACGTCATGCCCGTGGCATATTACCGCTGGAGCGAAAGCATGTTTTCGCTATGTGCTGTCCGAATTGTGTCGGGTAAGACTCACCAGATCCGCTGCTTGGCAAAAGACTGTCTCTTTTTTTCGAGGACATTGACATGCATTGACCACATTGCTTGCATGATTTCTGAGGCAAGCACATGGAGCACATTGGGCATCCATTGGTTTCAGATAGAAAGTACAACCCACTGCAGATTTACACGGACAGACGATGGTGTTCAAGGCTGCAGCTCGGAATGAAGTGCACGGCTTCAACCTCATGTGCATGCATTTCCGCGTTTGATCTTGAATGGATCAGGTTTCTGCATGCCTATGAGATCTGGTTGGAAGACGCAGGCGGGACGTTTAGATACGTTTAGTGAAGTTGTGAAATCGCAGCTCCACTCTCGTAAGGCACCCGCTGCAAAGTGTCAGCGCCTCTTGCCGCCAGGTTGCACATGGCTTGTTTTGTGGTTACTTGAGCGCAGTGCTCAGGCCCTAGACCTGCGCGAAGCACTGGCCAAGCTAGAGGCTGCGTTTCGACTCAATTTGACACCAACGCTGCAAGAGGTTGCCCTTCCATCCATCTAAGGACACCAGGCTGAGCGAGCCTAAGCTGGATATGCAAACAGGCGTGCTGCAGAAGGCAGGCTCCAAGTTGCAGTTGAGACTCTTTGAGACTGCTGGAAGATGCTGGAAGCGCAGGCTGTCATGGAAGAACTCATGCAAATGGACAGAAGTCTTCCAGAGAAAAACCCAAGAGCCGAGCCTGAGGGTGCAGCCCAAGACGCGCTCCAGCCACAGCAGAACAAAGACTGGCAACTGGTGCAGCAAGAGGAGCCTGCAAGCCAGACAGTGCAGCCAACGTGTCAGCCAGACCAGCAAGCTCTTTACAAGACGGCGCAGGCCGCGCTTCAGCCAGAGCGGCAGAACCCAAGCAAGCCAGCGCCGTTGGCGCATATGCCAAAGAATCCAGCAGTCAAGCCGCCTCCGCTAGCGCTCCAAGCTGAACTGAAGGCAAGCAAAGCAGCAGCGTTTGCGTTTTGGCCAAAGCAGCCGACAAGTGCGTCAGAGCAGCCAGTGCCCGCATTTCAGCCAGAGCGTCAGACTGCAAGCAAGCCTGCGCCGTTGGCGCATATGCCAGAGCATCCAGCAGTCAAGCCGCCCCCGCAAGCGCTCCAAGCTGAACTGAAGGCAAGCAAAGCAGCAGCGTTTGCGTTTTGGCCAAAGCAGCCGACAAGTGCGTCAGAGCAGCCAGTGCCCGCATTTCAGCCAGAGCGTCAGACTGCAAGCAAGCCTGCGCCGTTGGCGCATATGCCAGAGCATCCAGCAGTCAAGCCGCCCCCGCAAGCGCTCCAAGCTGAGCTGAAGGCAAGCGAAGCAGCAGCGTTTGCGTCTTGGCCAGAGCCAGAGCGTCAGACTGCAAGCAAGCCTGCGCCGTTGGCGCATATGCCAGAGCATCCAGCAGTCAAGCCGCCTCCGCTAGCGCTCCAAACTGAGCAGATAGCAAGCAAAGCAGCCGCGTTTGCGTCTCGGCCAAAGCAGCCAGCGCCCGCATATCAGCCAGAGCGTCAGACTGCAAGCAAGCCTGCCCCGTTGGCGCATATGCTAGAGCATCCAGCAGTCAAGCCGCCTCCGCTAGCGCTCCAAGCTGAGCTGAAGGCAAGCGAAGCAGCAGGGTTTGCGTCTCGGCCAAAGCAGCCGACAAGTGCGTCAGAGCAGCCAGTGCCCGCATTTCAGCCAGAGCGTCAAACTGCAAGCAAGCCTGCGGTGTTGGCGCATATGCTAGAGCATCCAGCAGTCAAGCCGCCTCCGCTAGCGCTCCAAACTGAGCAGACAGCAATCCAAGCAGCGTCTCGGCCAAAGCAGCCGACAAGTGCATCAGAGCAGCCAGTGCCCGCATTTCAGCCAGAGCGTCAGACTGCAAGCAAGCCAGCTATGCCAGAGCATCCAGCAGTCAAGCCGCCTCCGCCAGCGCTCCAATCTAAGCTGAAGACAAGCAAAGCAGCAGCGTTTGCGTCTCGGCCAAAGCAGCCGACAAGTGCATCAGCGCAGCCAGTGCCCGCATTTCAGCCAGAACGTCAGGCTGCAAGCAAGCCAGCGCCGTTGGCGCATATTCCAGAGCATCCAGCAGTCAAGCCGCCTCCGCTAGCGCTCCAAGCTGAGCAGATGACAGGCCAAGCGATAGCAGGGGGCGATGTGGGGCTTGGGGCTGCAGCTTGGTTGGGACGGGAGAAAGACTGATACAAAGCTGTCACCAATCGTCAAAATTGACTTGCGTCCTGTGTGCGTTTGCTTTTTGACGCTTCCTGTTCGACGCGCCACTTTTGTTCTTCGTCTGCCAGCTGCACTCTGACGTTGCTGCGCGTTGTGGCTCAGACAGGGGTGCATCTTCTGCTTAAGGCGGGTTGGTGCGTTGCCTGCCGCACATTTCTTGGCATGCAGCCTGGGCAGCGGTTGGGGCAGCAATGAAGCAATGGCAGAGGCGGGGGAAGGTGTGTGTGTGTGCCTATATATATATATTATGTGTTAAGAGTATACACGCCCTTGGATACCTGTCACCGTAGTACAGCTTGGTCTCACCGTGACTGTACATGTCAAGGCCTTGAGCCTACAATCTGCCCAGACAGAATAGAGCGACTACAGCCGCACTGATACTTTCACATCAGGCAATCAGGTAGCATTCAGTTTAACATGGTAGCGGAGCACAACTGACTACAAGCATCACCACACCTGGGAAAAATGCAACCAACCAAAGTACACAGTGACACAGTAAGTGAAAATGGCGGCACAAGGAAGTGCGCAACAAGCACAACTCCAACAGCAACTGTCAGGAGTACACAAGTACAGAATATCACCACCGCGATTCAGTGGCGAATGCACCACATTCGAAGAATGGAAGTACAAGATGACAGCATACCTCGGTTTGCAAGAATCATCATACAACAGACTACTGAGTCAAGCGGAACAATCAGCACAAGCAATCACAAGCGACCAACTGGAACAAGCCGCACCAGATCAGGACACAGCAGACCGATGGCTACAACTCAGCGGAGATGTTAAAACCCTCCTGGCCCCGTGCCTAAATTGGGAAGCAGTTCTGAGGTCCGTGTTTGTGTTGCTTACAAGGTTCCATTGATTGCCATTTGGCTCAAGTCACAAGTGAGGTTCAAGATCTTATGTGAAGCTGCGTTCATACGTGACCGGCAATTGAGAGCGGAAAACACTTCGCTTGCGCTGCATTTGTCAGGACCACTGTTGTAACTATTATTCCTTCTCCCTTACAACAGTTACACGGGTTCGGCTATAACGGTTTGACCGTATACACCTTTCTACGTGGTTGGTATTTACAGCTGGAGGGTTCGGTGGACAGCGTCCCACGGGACGTCACCTTGCCGTCTCTTGACAGGTTATCAGCCATAACGACAAGCTCTACGCTGGACAGAGAGACAGCTGGTTTATTGCGGGTACAGAGACAATAAAGGGACAATAACCTACACGGTACAAATGGCATCTTCAGCGAGCCCAAGTACTGCAACTTTTGGGAACGGCAGCTCAGAGGGATCCAATGGATTGATGGCTCTTCCTGCGGTGATGGATTTGGTCGCAGATTCACAGGATGAACCTGGGAGCGGAGGATCCGCGCTATTCAGCGACATATCCACTCCTACAAGATCATGGACGCAGATCGATGTTCGTCAGGAGTCGAAGCAAAGAGAATCCCCGCCGAGAAGATCATCATCTTCGCCTGCGACACCACGGACGTCGCAGAAGGGCGTGAGATCAACATCAAAAGGTGGGAGGTCTAAATCACCCACCAGTGCAGAGTTTCGCGCCGCGATTAAAGAAAAGAACAAGATGGAGATGGAGATCGGGGAATACCAAAAGACACTTGATGAAATGTCGGCAGCAATGGCGAATCTTCATCAAGAAGACCTTATGGGAGCACCATCCGGATCCAGGAGCTGGAGAGACGATGCGAGATTGCCAGCAAGCAGTCGGGACATCTTGTGAGTCACCACCAACACCACATGGCTGAGGCATGGCGCAAGTTTGAGGAGGAAGCCCAACAGATGCGCAAGGTGGAAATGAACGCATATCAGTACGGGGAAAAGAAAGACATGGAGTCGAATGTTATAATACAACAGATGAGACAAGCTGAAGGAACTATTATGGAACAGAAGCGGGAGATCGCAGTGATGAAATCCTACATGGCAAGCGAGAAGTCGGCCGCGCAGGAATCAGCTACACGTGCAAATCAGATACACCGTGAGGCTTCACAACAAATATCAGTTTATCAGCAACAGATCAGAGGTATTGAATCGTCTACATCTATCGACGAGGAGGAGATGGCCCAAAGTCTAAAATCACAGTTGGAGCATGCGCTCGTCAAACGCCCCGAGACGTACTCTATGGAGGACTCCAGGGAGCAGCTGATGGCGAGACTGAACGACGTTACAACATTCGCGGAGCAAGAATCGAAGAGAGCAGAGTGCTTACTTCGCGAGAAGGAAGAGATCGTCAAGCAGTACGAATCCGACGTGTTGAAGAAGGACCAGATGATTGCTATCGAGGGTAGTCATCGTCAAGATGCGATCTTGGAGTTAGCCCAGGTCAGAGAAGCAAAACAAGAAGAGCGGTGCACGATGGACGAGAAATCGACAGAGGCCGAGTACTGGAGATTGACAGCTAAAGGAGTGTATGATGAGTACATCGAGGAGATGCGTGAACTTCAGGGACAACTGAAGGATCGGGAGGCGACGCTCAAGCAAGAAGAGAGTTTTGTTCGTCAACTCGATGCTGACAATGAGGAACTACGAGCACTCAAGAAGCTGGAAACACAGGAAGCCTCTAGCAGTAAAGATGGACATCGTGAACGAGCAGTAGTGAAACGCGCTGAGGGAGGAGCCCAAGCTAATTCGACTAGGGTAGACAAGAGGGTGACTGGGTTATTCCCGTCATCATCATCGAATCTGATCCCTAATTCGTCACTAATGCCAGGTTCGATTCTCTTTCCGTCTTTTGGTGATCCAATGATCGATGTACACCTATCCCAGATGCAAGGGGTTGTTGGGCATGTCCCACAATCCGCTACTACAGCTGGTGGTAGTGGTGATGGAGGGGGAAACAACGGTACTACACCCCCATTGGATTACGGTGGATTCTCGCCCAATGGAAATAGACAAGGGGCAGGTCGACGTCAGTTGAGCCTCACAGGTGGCGGAGGAGGACCTCCGGATGATCCACCCGGTGATGAGGACGAGGATGACGACGACGAAGAGGACGAAGAGGACGAGGAAGAAGAAGAGGAAGAAGATGACAATCGGACACGGAGGAGGCGCAGAAGATCGAGGGATGATCGAGAAATCAAGAGCGAAAGACCGAGGATTTCGAGGAAAGAAGCCGAGAGGGTGTCTATTCCTGCTTGGCCAAAGATCCATCAAGTCGATAACTGGAAGATGCAATTGCTGATGAATGTTCTGAGCGCATGCGCAGATCCAGATACTGACACATGGACGAAATGGTTGGAACAGGCTCTTGGGTTAAACCCAGACCTAAATCTGCTGAGCGACTCCGGCGGCGACAGATTCGCTACGATAGATATCAAAATGGCCATGGGCGTGCAGAACATGTTAAAACAAGCACCTGACGAAGCCAAAGACGTGTACCTCGACGCTACGCGACATTCGGAACTACGACATCAACAAGGGGTGATCGTGAAGGGGCGAGAGTTGGTGGCATTGGTTATGCAATCATTCAGGACGTCTGATCGAACGGATCTTGTCTACCACATCGAGCACCTATTCAACCTTGACTTTCCTGGAGACAAGAGTTTGGTATATTCAGGAACAAGTGGTATGATTTGTTGCTAAAGATGAGGAGCGAAGATAGACCCAGCAAGTTGGCTCTCAGAGATATTCTCTACAGGAAGATCAAAGGGAGCAAGAAGATGGAGTTCGGCCTCAACGCCTATCATAGGTTGCCGGACAAACATCCTCAAAAGACGTACGAATTCTTATTGGCATTGATCGACCACCAAATTAAGCCGTATCGAGAGGACCTGATGCTTGACATGAAGGAGAAATCGGTCAAGTCAAGCCCCGGCTACTGGCAAACAGGAGAACCAGGGTGGCAAAGGCAGGAAGGGGAAACCCAGTGGACCTGATGCTGCTCCTGTACTCCCAAAGGCCAAAGCAAAGGGTCACGCAAGAACGGCAAGTCCGACGGTGCCAGCGACAGAGGCAAGAGTCCGGGCGGAGGTAAAGATAACCCATGTTGGTATCACTTCAAGGCAGCGAAGGGATGCGTAAAAGGGAATGAATGCACATTTTCCCACAGCAAGAAGACGGAGCACAAGCTGGAGAACATGTCCAAAGGGAAAGGAAAAGGTAAGTCCAAATCCAGATCATCGTCACCAAAGAGGGATGATGGAGCATGCTTCGCGTTTCAGAAGGGAAAATGCGACAAGGCGAGTGCTTGCAAGTACAGGCACGAGCTCATCAAGAACAATTCAGCTCCGGCAACGTCAAGCGACAAGGCGCAAGCCAAGTCGAAGGCTGCCGCCAAGGCCGCAGCGCCAGCTATTGCAAGAAGGGCCATCGCGATGCCTGCGATAGTCTTGAAGCAATCGGCTCCTGCGGGAAAGGTCAGCTTCAAGAAGGACGTTGACCAGGTCGAACCGGATGAGGCCGAGACTGTCTACCACGAGCATGATGACGACGCAATGAGCGAATCATCAAGATGGTCTGGCGAGTCCGAGATCCCCGAGAAAATGGTATGGTTCAAGGAAGTACTCGATGTCGACGAGAATGGGGAGATCACCTATCTTGAAGACGAGAGAAGGCAATGGGAACGAAAAGGGAGTGACGTTGTCGGCTAGTGGTTCATTTTTAATTTTTTGTATTGTTCGTTTGTTTTGAGATATACGTCTGTGTGTGTTGTTTTTTTAATTGGTTGTTTTTTAATGTGTGTTTAGTCTTGTTTGAAGTACTATTTTTAATACTATTTTTTCTTCGCGGTTTGTTTGTTAGTATTGTGTATTTTTTGGTGTTTTATTGATTTTTTACACTGGAGGATAAGTGAGAGAGTTGAGTGCCTTTTGATTATCAGTACGTGTACGTCGACGAGAAGAAGTTTAAGAGCAGTGATCATCAAGAATTATCAGCCTATCAAGTCCAACGATCATTGATAAGAGCGAAAATACTGAGAGAGGTGGTAGACGACATATATAGGAAACACTACTTCCCAGTAACCAAGGAGAGCGCT